TCAAACTCTGCTTTCGCAGAAGGCATGGTAGTGGCCAAATTACTCCAGTTTTGCCTGCTACTGTGAACGGATCTCACATTCACATGAGTAGCCAGTTAGTCAAAGCATAAGACTTCAGTAGCCAGTAAGCCGTAGTTAGCAAAAGGTGGATCTTAGAGCAAGTCTTCTGCCCAAGAGAAAATTTCGTGCAGTCTTCCCTATTCTTTACGTAATTTAATTTGCCAGAACCGTAGTTTGGACAGAAGTCTGTTTTCATTGTAAACAAAGACAGTTTTTCCTGAGTCATTAGACTTTTCGGCAGTTTCAATAGCTGTGAACGCAACATGATTTAGAAAAAGGAGCATATCAATTGTTTTGTAGCTGAAGGTAGTTTAATAACACGCAGTTGTACTATACTGAGATTGATGAAAAAGTCGTTTCAGAAGCAAACGTTATCATTCTTATCAAGAATAAAATGAGAGTTTTTAGAGCAGAATTCAGCGTACTAAAAATGCTATCAAAATTTTAAACTCGCAGTAGAACCAACGAGTGAATCCGTTATATCAATCGCTGGTGTTAGATCGTGATGCTGTGATCGATGTGATAATTTCAACGAAGTGAGAAACATAATTTGCATCGTAAAAGCGATATTTACGGTTCGAAAATTTTAATGAAAGACAAAACTTCTATTGTTTAGTGTAAGGTACTGTCTAAACATTTACTTTGCGGTTTGTTATCGAAACTAATGAGAGCCTTTTATTTCTAAATTTTCCCGCCCCAGAGAAAAAAAAGGAAATACATTTTTGTTTAAACGCGCCTACCAGCTAAAATAATCGTTGACTGAAGATTAATTTCATGTGGCAATGTTTCCAGGAACAGTCATGTACCATACACTTCCTTGAGTTTCTTTGAAAATTGGAAAACAAAATTAGCGATTGCGATTTGTAACTCTTAACTTGACTCGAATTGTATCTGCTAAAGATGAAAAAATTTTCGCCTTGTGTCTTTAAACATTTTTTTTTGGCAAATCTCGGTTTTAATTGCACATCGTAGACTGCAATAAATATTCTAATGTACGCTTCTGGAATGCACAAAATTTTCAGTTTAGTTATTGCTCTGTTAACGGCAATCCGTGATGTGGTTTTTCTGGCGTACAGAGTTCAAAAAAAGGGGAAAGCCTTTCGAATTGTACTGACAGCGCCATCTAATTTTATCTGGCAAAATTTTCAAGCTCCTTCGACCAACCTAACAAATATGCTATACGAAATTTGACGACAAATGACTCGAGACGTTTTAGAATTATAAAAGTCATCGCGCGACACAGCGTACATGAAGTGTCACCCGGGTTTACTGAAATGAGCGGTTGTCTTCACAAATTACTTCTTATTTACGGTTTTCTCACCGCTGTTTTTCACGTAACTTATAAACACCAGGAAAACCATCTTGTTGAAAAGAACTAAACCGTATAACAATGTGAAAATATGTACTGGAAAGGCGAAACTACGAACCATTCCGGCATATGTTTTATCCTTGTAGTATTAAGTTCAATCCTAGTAGCTGGGAATGAAGCATAATTCTTGATCAGTATGTCAGCCTCATATTCCACTAAAGGGGTGAGAGCAATACATTACGTTCTTTTGGGACCCCTGATCAATACTCAGTCTGTTTCTCTAAGCATTTGGTGATGCAAGTATTTTAAGGGGAGCCACCGTCTTTGCTTTGCGAGAATGCATGGTGATGCAAATCCTTCGAGTTTCACCAGCAACAGTGAACGGATCTTACGTTTAAATCAGTTAAAAGTCAGGTCCAGAAGTTTAGTGGCCAACAAGCTTTTGTTTTTGATCAGTGAATCCGTCAGCTCGCCCCCAAGAACATTCAGCGTAGTCCTCTCTCCATCAAATTTAATTTTCGACAAAGGCAGTTATAATCGCATTAGAAATATTTTTTCCTTAGTTGTCTTTTAAGTTTTGTAAAAGCTGGACTAACCGAAAAAGAAAGAAGGTTTTCTTGTAGATCTAACACGTTAGTTAACAATCTTTTTGAAAAAAATTGGAAAATGCATTATTCATTGTATTAGTTGAGATTGCAACAGAACTGCAGCGATAAAGATATCGTTCTTGAAGCAATAATGAACAAAATGAAGTATTTTCAAGATGAAAATTACGGACCAAAATGTGTGCTTGACTCGTGAAATTCAGTGGAAAGATGGCGTAATCAGTAAATCTACGTATGATTTTTCTCCTGAAATATACTTGACTTGAGAATTTTTGTTTTTATTTTTATTTAGTGAAGAACTAAATATTTACAAAATCTGCAGCCCAGAAAATATAGCAGGTTTGAGTTAGTCAACGCATGCGCAGTTGTGTCAGAGGAACCAGAGGGTCGATCAAGTAAATGACAATCGTGAATATCTTGACACCTCTCAGTGGCAAGGCGATCGACCTTGTGAACTCTCTAAAAGCACTTAAGTGGTCTTAAACTATATACTTGTTGTTCATTCGTTTATCTGTACAAGAAGTCAGATTGTTTTTGACTCAACGTTCACTTTTGATCGAAATATCATAAGTTTCATTATTCATTTTTTCCGTCAACCGTTCGTATTTTAAGCGCTGGTTGAGCATTATTCTAAATTATTGTTAGGCTGTTATCACACAGTTAGATTATCCAGTCTTCAAATAGTTTAAATCTACTTTAAAACAAAGGGCACAGCGTGAGTTTTTTAAGGTGCACGGATGAGTTTAAAAGGCGCTCCAAACTCAAGGGGAAAGTAAGACGGAGGTTCCCCTAAACTTTTTACGTGAAGCGTAATTTAGCGATAATTTTTTTTCTCGTGAATCGTGATTTGAATTTTTCCTTATTCGTGAATCGTGATTAAAAATGATAAGATCTTTTCATGTCCACGTGAACTAATTTTCTTAAATGAAGAGCTGAATTAAGCGTGATTCGTGAACCATTTTGATTTGCCTGATAAATTCCCGGCTATTTAATTGTTTTAAAATGAACGTATTGTTCTCGTACGGCCGTGTTAAGGTTTGACCAGGGTTTCGACAGGACGCGGACTTCATATGGATCGATAAATATCATAGAACAGATCACGTATGGTCCTTGTACAAATAAGATAAGTCATTAGGTCATCTTTTATAACTTAAGATTGGTTAAGACTAGAAAAAAGTAAAAATATCAATTTGAGAATGTTCAAATTTCACGTGAACGGAAACGAAATTTGAAAATATTATTCGTGACGCGTGAAAAAGCCAAATATTTTCACGTGACTGAATTTTTAAAAAGGTACAAGGTGCAGTGTTAGTGAATTAAGTCTCGGCCAGCTGTGGAAAGTTGTACAATACATTTAAACACCGGTATTATGCCGGCTACGTAATTTCCTGATTTTAACAAAAGGTAATTACAGAACTGAACGAAGTCTTCCATGGACTCACTTTTTAATATAGCCTCTGACGACATTTGACCTGACTCTCTTTTTCGCTGGAGAATTTCGACTGTTCCAGCTCGCAAGACACTGACAGTAATAATAATAATAACAATATTATTATTATTAATTTCTATTGCGCAATTATCAATATAAATTTTCAATTGCGCAATACAATATGATCTTAATACAAATATATAAATATACAAATGTAAATGTCAATTTAAATATATAAATACAAATAGGAAATATAAAATATATACATGAAAAAAAATTTTAAAAAAAATTCATTCCTGACCTAATCGATAGGTATCCAATTTCACCGGTGTTGTGCTGTTTTTTAAGAATTCCATTCCTTTTTCTCAGTTTCTAAGACTTCGTCGTTTATGTAGTGATGACTCTGATTTCCACCACAAATCAGAGTCAATGTGCCAGTTTTTCGATAAACGTGGTTACCCTGTTTCTGTTGTTCAAGCGGGTTACCACCGCGCCCAACTTATTGATCGACATTCAGCACTATAAATGTCGCATAAGGAAGATTCCGACCGCATTCCATTCACTCTCACGTTTCACCCTCACAACCACTCAGTTAAATCCATCATTCTTAAAAACTTTAAATTACTTCAAAACGATCCAGAGACAAGCACTATCTTTTCGCAGCCTCCGCTCATTTCATTCAAACGCGACAAAAACATAGGTAATTTTTTGGTCAGAAGTTCTTTTCAGACTAATGACCAACCAGGCACTTTTAAATGCGCTCGTGCACGATGCAAAAACGCAG